CAGCCTTGTGGATGAAGATTTTTTAGGTCCAGTACATGGGCAGTAAGGTTCTGGGTTTAACCTGCGTAAAGCAGTAATGTTTTAAGGTGTGAATTTGGCATGGGAGATTACGAGTCCTTCCTATATTAGTTTTATATCCCAACTTTCCATTATCTCTTTGCCTAACAGACAACCTTGTATGAGGTATGTGTGTAATTGAGGAAGTGAGTGGATCTCACACCGAAAATAATGGAATAAGAACCGATATTCGACGTAGGGACATCATGAACAAATATGTAAAACTACAAGGCCGAGAAAGGTCTGTGCGACATTAAAGGTAGCGGGAAGATTCTCTATTGCTGGGAATGTCCCCTGGGAAACAGCAAGAACCGTAAGTGGCACTTGTAACTCATTTATGCGCCGACACATAGCAACTGTGAAGTGGGTGGAGACAAAATTAAATAGCTAGCCGGGATCAAAAGAATAGGAAATCAATTAATACGAGAAAGTATGTGGTACCACTAGTTACTTTCTGGTTTAGCACGAGTATACGTATAAGAGAAAGTTATGTAATGCCGCAGAAAATCAATTTCGAGGTTTTATTCGTTGTTCAATGTAAGCTAAATGCAATGGAACTAAAATGAGACAGAACATTTTGAATGTATCGAAGTAAACATTATTTTGATGTAATCTTTAAATTTTTCAGAAATTTCATAAACATATGTTTAAGTATTATTATATCACGTAACGTTACAAATAATGCATGAAAGAACCTGCAGTTGAAGTACCACTCGTTTAAATATGTTTTGCTTCAACACGCTAACATCGATTCTTGACCCCTACTAAAGAAAAGTTAAAACGAATATTTCCCTGCTTCCCGCGCACAGGCATTTCGACGGCAATTGTTTCAGTGTCATTTAAAACACTTTAATTATATTTAATTTTTGCATGCAATAAATCCTACCCCTATAAATGCTTTAAAAATGATAAATTGTATTTTGTACGAATACTATATTGTTCCTCGACAGAATTATGCTTGTACATTTTCTACAGTTTTTCCTTCAATAGAATAATAAGGGTAACTTTTGTATAGCGTGAATGAGTGAAATTGTTCCTTAAAATGACGCAAGGACGTATAACATTGAAAATCGCTCTTTCGAGCAAAATATTTCAATACATTTCTCGAATATAGATTAAAGTACTGTGGAAGAAAATATTAAAATAATCATAACCTTTGATCATAATTGGAGATGAAAAATAGTTCTGTATTATAAAATGTTAAGGTCTAGTTAGGTGTAGAAGTTTAATACTGTGAAGAGCAAGCACGATTGTAACACCAATCTGTGCCTCTTTTTGCAGCGTAGATAAGGGTGTAATACCACGTAAAATACATATTTTTTCCTGTTGAACAATAATGCATGATTAAGCCGACATCGAACTACATTTCATGCGTTATGGAAGTTTCTTGAGTTCCAATGAATGGAACTGTTTCAAATGCAGCATTACAATTTCATTGAACTGTCGAACCTCTCTTTAGATTACAAATCGCAAATGTATAAAGAGACCGGCCTTTTACGGTAACAGTAATGCAAATCACAAAACTAAATGCTGAAGATACGTGGCGAGTGCTCTCTCGTGCCGCTAGGCAAAACGCTCTAGTGAGGGCTCTACTTACCCATGTGTGTGGGCTGAGCAGCCGGGAAAAGGCGGCGAGGAGGCAGACGAGCGGTCGCGGCGGCCTCCTCACACGGTCGGTTCGCTTGTGCAGAAATGCGAGCTGAGCGCGCTGCTCTCCCGGCGCCCGGGGAAGCGGGCCCGGCCTGGGTTTATTGATCGCAACATCCACGCTGGACCAGAGCGTTATTCTCTTACCTGAAGCACCATTTGCATTCAGCTACCCTTCTATTATACTCTTTAATTAAAGCGTATCGTTAGTGTTCTGCAACATGGTGGTCGAGGGTGCATGTAATGTGTAGATAACTAAACCAAAATTAAATAACTCGTTTTATGTTCTTATCGAATGTATTGATGAAGTTTGGAATTTCATTATTGAAATTGTGGAACTATGTAGATTTTTAAAATGCTAATTTAAATTAATTGATCAACAACATATCTTCTGAGAAATCTTGCGAAATATATACGATGTCATTGTGTTTCATTGAACATTCATTTTTATTGCACCGTCTGATTCTAAGATTTCACCATTGTTCTGAACGTATCCTTCATATTAAAACATACCCGTCATAATAAAAAAATAAATTTGAAAGGTTTCCAAATTAGCCTTCCTAATAGGTGGTCGGTTAACATTTCAATCGTAAATAAGAATATGTAAACGCAAAGTGACAAATTGACACCGAAATCTTGCTTTTTCGTTTCTTTTCTGAACTTTACCAATGGCAGTAAACAATTAAAAACCTATTATATATAGTTCTAGTTGAACTAATATGGCTACAAAATGGCACAGACTTTGTCGTATTAGTTTTCTATTGTCTTTGGACGGGGCTAGCTATTCTGGCTTGCCCAATCCTCTTGCCAGCTTCCATCTATCGCCGCCTATTTTTTCTCACTTATTCGGTTTTCTAATAGTAGATCAGAATTATTACTTTAAGAATATCAAAGAAGAGTAAAATTTCGTCGTAAATGGCAATTTTCATTGAAAAATTTGGAGCAATTTTTAAGAAAACGATGTTTAAGCGTTACTGTGAATGCGAAATTTAAACTTCTTTTCCCAGAACACTATTGAGTTTTCGAAAAAAATCATATGGGGTCAAGCACTTCCAATTACGAATACAATAGTGTTTACAAATTGCTACATATGTACATATTAAAGGCGTCCAGGAAAATTACATATGTGTAATTTTTGAAAGAAAAAGAAAAGATTACATCAAAATGAACTTTATGCCATAGTAAGCAATGCAATTAGTACTATCTAAAGTATCTTTGAGAAAATGGCGTTGAGCGTTTCTGAAAATGTGGAATTTAGAGCTCATTTGCGCAGAAAACTGTTGAGATTTCGAGAAACAATACCTAACATTATTTAATGCACATATACTCATAAATATATTGATGTGAACAAATTTCTGTTAAATAAATATTAACAACATAAGACACAAGGCTAAAACATTACATTTTTGTCATTTTTGAAAAAAAAAGAGCAACAATGCGTTCATGACATCTAATAGTGTGTTTTAGCACTCTCCCTACTAAAAGTTTAAAGAAAAACATTGGAACAGTTTTTGAGAATATCTTGTTTTTGTATTTTTTTTCCATTGCGCGTATTCCACCCAATATTGCACGAAAACTACTAAAATCTTCAGTAAACTGTACATGACCTTCATGAAAGATCTATTAAGAACAGCAAGTATCATATACAGGAAAAATTTATATCTTCAATTTTATATTTATAGGAAGAGGCCGAAAAGTATTCAACATTTTGTAATTTTCGAATCAGAGTTAACTCGGGCTCATGCCACATTTATAAGCGTATTTTACTCAATTCTTACAAGAAATTTAAAGAGAACATTTGGAGCCACTTTTGAGAACATTTTGAAATTGCCCGAGTAGCGTCATGTAAAGAACCCCCAAATTTTAACGAAAGTTTAACAAAATCTCAAAGCTGCGACTCGAGCCAGGACAGGGTATTTTCAATTTGGAAAAAACCTTTGTATGATTTATACGTTAGTGGTGTTCACCGACGGACGGACGGACGGACGGATAGACAGACAGATAGACACGGAGGTATTGAAAAAAACAACAGTTTTTCGGTATCAGAAGACCCCAAAACATGTATTTCCGTTGAAATATCTAAGTCGATTTTCTGCATCATTAATTATCTCTGTAATACGTATGTTTCTCCGTATGTACGTACTTATAAGAGAAAGTAAAATTACCCCAAATAGGGTCTAAGAGTCAAAAAGAAATAAATTGTTGTAATATATACTGTCTGTTTTATTAAGGTCATAAAATTCATTTAAATAAAATCTACACTACGTTTTCGCGCTAGATTTGAGCACAGACGGACAGACACGTTTTGTCGTCAATCGATTTTATGGTATCAAGGACCCACAAAACAGGGATTCTAGCTACCCCATGTATTAGAGGAAGGAGTTTATTATATATAGGACAGGGTTTGTCTACTACCACAGCCCGCCAATAAAGAGTTTTTCTGCCGAAAATTTGCCGATTTCCGGCGCTCGATTACAATATTTTCTCTTCTTACTTTCGTAAGGGCGAGAAAGTAACTATGTTTTACAAAGTCCGAGGTCAATCCAAATAATTACAAGACATTTTGTTTAATGAAAACCAGAAACTTAATTTTATAAATCCTTAAGCTTATGTAGGAGGTATGGTGTTATAAATGTAATCTATGGAAAGCTGAGATCTTATAGTTTGGAAATTAAATAACTTGGTAATAAGAGCAGAAGTTTAGTGTGAAAAATCAATTGTTTAAGTTTTATTTCAGTAAAGTATTTCTATTTAACACACATTACATACTATGTTTAATTTTAAAGTTTATAAATTGTCTTTCTTTTTATTGAAATAGCTCTTTAGCTTGAAATACATTGATATCTTTACGTCAAATCTACTTGTTCTAGGTGCCAAATGCATTAATAATCTGGGGAACCGCAGCTTATTGCGCTCCAAATTATGTACATTGTCCACAAATAGTTCCTACGTCTGTATGAATAATTCAATCTTAAATAATAAGTACCTGTTAAAAATAATAAATAAATTAAAGTCTAATTTTATTTTTCATTTTGGGTATATGTGGAAACAATCCTTTTAATTATAGTATTTGACCAAAATGTCAAATCAAAAATGATGTTTTACAATGTAATTTACATTCTTCGTGGTTCTTTTGATAATCCTGCATAATAAACTCAGTTATTCTAGACATTTGCTATCTATCCGGAATATTCAGAAAAACGTGTCAAAGGCATGCGAGACGGCACATTAGTTTCGCGATTGGCGTCAAAACAAACTATGTAGAGGAAGAAACAACCGCATGTAAGAATACACACCATCAAGCATATACCCACAATCCAAATTGCTAGTATACTAATATTAGTTTTAAAAATGCCTTTTGTTTGCTTTTGGGCCTTCGAATGCGATACGTTTTCTGTCATATTGCTCCCATCATCACCCATTTCGTCTTCATAATTTTCTTCATCCACCATATCGTCTGAATCACTGCAGTTGACGAAGGGGGGTGAATAAGACGAATTTTTATACATGACAGAGATATGAATTTTACCATTTAATTTATTTGCTTCAGTCGGGGCGGTATTAGAATCATCCTCTACTTCATCTCCATTCTCATCCTCGTCATCATCTTCATCATCGTCATCATCATCGATTTTTCTCCGAATACGTTCTTTATAACTTTCAAAGTTTTTACGATTGTATTCTTTAGTTTCTACCTGACTCTTTTCGTTTATAGTTGTGCTATGGTCTACAAGTTCACTTTCCTGTACTTCACCTGACACAGCCCTCTTACGAATTTTCGCGCTTCTTTCTTCATCTGTTCTTCTGGAGTGGCTTTCCTCTTCATATCCTTTGGATACTTTTACTGCATTTTTCTCTTCCATAGCGGAATTACCCCTCAGAAGTTTTGGATGCCTTGGTAGCTGGTTTACAAAATGTGGCGCGGTGTCTTGAGTTGTCCTTCCGTTGTAATACTGATCTTCCAGATTTTTACGTCTCCTGGCCACGTTCTCCAGCATTTCCCCTAAAGAATATTTTTATTCATTATTTCAATTTATGTGCTTATAACTTTGTTTTACTAAAACTCTAGAAGAACTAACATAATACACAGGTTTGTCGATGACATGTTTGTATGTTTCGTAAATATTTAAATCAACCACTAATTCATTGATACTCTCAATAAATCAATTATCTTTCCGTATCAAAGTTATCATTCTCATAAGCCGTAGATCTAATTCAGAACTGTATAGAACTAGATTGATTTATGTAAAAAACGTACACTAGTATTCCAAAAAGTTATGTGAAAATTAAATTGAAAATGTACCGCTTAATAGGAATACTTCTTACTTTCGAATTTTAAACAACATTAGTGCAGAAATTGTTATATTTTAAAAGGGCTTTATAATTTTAAGCAGCACGCCTTACATATAATTAAGTTGATGAAGAATTTTAAGGATAACGTTTTTCATTTATTGCGGTTTATTTTAAGATATATTTTTAAAACGATCAATGTATAGTTCTAAGAAGACAGTGATACCTTTCGCTGACTGCGCATCAGAGCTGAATCTCGGTAAGAATTGTTCTAAGAAGCTTTACAATCTAGTATTGTTTACTATTCTTAAATTCGAATCGGTTATGTCTTGTTCTTAAAACGTCAACGCCCAAGACATTTGTGTCTACATTATACTATTGTTCGAAACTTTACTGCCTGTTTTATTATATGTTACGAATATTTGAATTACATATAAACATATACATGATTATGTTCACCATAAGTTATTTACGAAACAATGCACTGAATATCTTTGTTTCATCCGAATTCACTTAACGAGGAGGTGAATTTTACCTCATCAATTGTAATTAGACATACATTTTAATAACAACTTGCTTAGCACTATTTTATCTTTCACATTATCATTCAATTAAAGAAAAGTAAATATTTCTCTTGGTCGCATAACTGTTCAAAAACATATAAAACTCATTTTACGCTACACTTACTTTGCAAGTATCGTTTAACCTCTGGCAGATGACTAATAATTCCAATGCGGAATTCATCTTGGACCAACTTAATGCCTTTGATATTTTCTCCAAAATTTTCTAGCTCTCTTTTATCGAACCAATACTTTTTTGTAAACTTTTCAAACACAGGTAAACACCTTAAACTGTCAATCAGTACCGAAAATAAACAAAATTTACAAAATAAATCTATACGTAGACATAAAATCATATTGATATATGAAAATAACATTATTAGGAATCGAAGGGTGATGTTTATTTGTTTTTCGGCTATTATTGTTCAATTTATAAATAAACTAGCTGAAGTACTCCGCGATGCCCGGGTATTTATCACAAAAAAGTATTTGTGAGGATGAGGAATTCCACCTATTTCCGACCTGCTGCGGGTTCTACCTTGCACTGCCCGGCTGTTCCGAACTGCTCCAATCCGCCCCTCTGCCCAGAGCAACACTACTTCACCCCAGCCTTCTTTGCCTGTCTCCCACGTCGCAATAGCCGGCTGCCTCACTCCCTTCTCACTAAAAAAATGTTTACATTTTCTCTTATTGGAGGTTCCCGCCTCTCAAACTTTACTGTGTGAGTAATAATAAAAAATCTAAAATAAAAATACTAGTACTTGTATTTAATGTGTGGAAATTTATATATTATACAAATAGTTTCAATGAAATGACTCATTGTAAAACTTACTATTTTTCTTTTTTTTTCTTCCCGCGTATTCATAAAAAAAGGATTGAAATAGATGTTTAACACCACGCCAAGTCAATTGACGCTTAATTACTCTTAAAATGCATTTAATCGTATTCGTGAATGCCTTTTAGGGTTCTTGAAACAGTGGTTGATGGAAAGGTGCCAATAACCTTTTGGGCAGTTATATTTCCAATAATCCGAGATCGCTCACTCTGCTCTGCGCTTTGAACCGAGTAACATCGCTTCGAACGCTATCGCAGAACAGTGGTGATAAATTTTTCGGTGCAAGCACTAAATCTGTTTATTGACGGAAGCGTGTGTTCAGTGTTAGTGCACTGATATTTATATGACTAAAAATCATCTTCTAAGGCAGAGGGCAATTATGGTTGCGTAGGCTTCCGCGGCCGGATTTTATGTTATCTAGGCTATCCGGGACGAGCCGCGTCTCTGTCATGGTGACTAACGTTGTACGCTCTGCAAGCACAGCAGTACGCTCTGAAGAAGGCCACAATACGCTGGCCGAAACCATGATAGTGACGCGCCTCGTCCCGGATAGCCTAGACAATAGAGGGCAATTAGTTACCCTAGACTCAGTTTGTAATACAGAATATCGAATATTGAAATACTTATAACCATATGCATATTTCCGTACACCATACGCAAGAGAGAGAAACAATGCATAGAATATATTTGCATAATCTGAATTCACTTAACGAGGAGGTGAATTTTACCTCAGAAATTGTAATTGACATTATAAAATTTAATAACATCTTACTTAACACTATTTTATACTTTACATTAGCATTTGATTCTAGAAATTAATGAAGAGTGCACTAAACATTTCTCTTGGTCGCATAACTTCTCAAAAAACATCCTCGCAGAAGGCAGCTCTGGCTTCACGAGCAGCAATATGGAATATACAGAAGACATCGCGTCGCAGTCTGAACAAAACGCAAATGACCGGATCAGCGAAGACGCACGTGGAACCTGGGCAAGTACCTTCACAACAACAAACAACCGTCTCAACTCTGCAACGAAGCAAGGTAACGCGAGGGATGCGAACCCGCGAGGACGGAGGCGGCACCAAACGCATGACCTCGACCGCCCTTTCTCAGAAGTGAGCTCCAATAGCAATTTGCAAAAATATTACAATGTAGAAGTGTCAAACTTATTTGGCGTTTTAAATGAACAGACACATGATGTACCAGTAGAAGTTAAAAAATCCCCCCAATCCATTTAACGGAATTAGCAATCATGCAGCATGTACACGGGAAAAACAAATCTAAAAAAAGAGAAAACTTTGCCACTTAACTGAAGAAAAACATTACAATACAGTCCACGACACTAACAGAGTTCACAGCAGCAGTTAAATACTTTATAAGTTCCAATAAACAATTCCATACGTACTCAGATCCTAGTATAAAGAAAAGCATTCATCCCTCAATCCAGGAAAACGAAATTCTTGAAGACATCGCATCACAATTAAATAAAATACAAAGTTCACGAGATTGAACAAGAATTAAGTCCCGATCACAGTAGTCGCTGTAGAATTTAATAGTACCGAAAAAAGTTGAAAGTGTTTTGGAATTACAATTCATTTGCTATTTTCTAGTGATGCCGGAAAGAAGAAGGAAATCTGTGGACCCCATTCCATGCTATCGTTGCTTTGACTTTGGAAACAGTAAAAATAACTGCAATTACGAAGTTTCGTGTGTATTTTGATCCAAAAACCACCTTTCAGCAAATTATCCATCCAATAATTCAATCCCAACCTGTGGAAATTTGCAAAGAGAAAAAAGAGCTGACCCCAGAACAAACGAATCATACATACTACAGGAAAATGGAGGAAAATAACAACATTATGAATAATAACTTAATAATATGAATTCCAGTCCCAGAACCCGTCTGACACGTCATCAGTCAAACCTGACTCAAGGAACAAGGACATGTTTGCCTACAATATATAATATTCCTAATTTCTCTCAGAAAGTAAATAATCACAATCAAGCAAAAAATGCAACTAATCCACGTTATTCAGACTGCCATTAATATTTATTCTTTAGATATTTCTGTCCAGATTTATTTTAGACAGTCACATACATATTGAAAACCAAAAACAAATTAATCAAAATCCGTAATTTACACTGAAAATTCATTAAAATGTTCTGTTAATTTTTTAAGCATTTTAGATCTCTCAAAGTTTTGAGGGGCAGTTTTCCTCTTCTTCAGGAGTATAATTTGAATATAAACAGAAATTATTATTAATCAAATTAAATTTTCTATTTTTTAATATTGTAGTAAAACACATTGAAATTATTATAATATATGTGTATCAGGTACAAATGAACTCAACTTAAGAAATTCTGCTATTTTTAAGCCTATTTTTAATCTATGTAAAATAACTGCAATCATTTTACTTTCATTTAAAATTGACTCAAAAGACGGCAAAAAATTGGTGCTAGTCTCATTTCCGGCAAACCGTCTGTATTTTCAAAAATGGCGGAACCTTTACATTTCAAAATTACAAAATTGAAGATAGAAATCCTTTGGGAGAAGTGGAAATCCTTTGGGAGAAGTGGTACTGTTACTGAACTTTTCTTTCTTCGTTCGTACTTACTTTCAAGGTGAAATGCACACTGTTGCATAGTTTCATATAATCAATATGGTACAGTTGTAAAATAGACTTGCATCCACACTTGAGTACTATTAGTAACACTTTTAGTTGACAAGAGGTAATCACAAGATGCAGATGATATGCTGAAATTCCTTTAGAAACATTGAAGAATGATTACTTTATAAGACCTGTGTGATGTGAAGGGGGCAACTTTGCTATGAAGGCAAATGCTCGTAACATGTCCAAGTGTTACTCCAACATCAACACACAAGCATTTCGGTGGTGGGATCAGACATTATAATATAATTATGACGAAGTAGACGGTCCCGTGCGAACATACTGCATTTTGTAAATCATTCATTGAAAAGTGAAAGTTGCTCCTATTACGCAGGCACACAAAATAAACTAGTGGTATTACGGAATGGCACAGACTTTCCCGTATTCGTTTTCTATTTCTTTTGGTCTCGGCTAGCTATTCGGACTTGCCACACAATCTTGCCAGCTGCCATCTATCGCCGCCCAAAGTACATATTTTGTCATTTTCTTAATTTTTCGGTTTCTTAATGGAAGAACCGAAATATAATTTTAAGAATATTAAGAACAGTAAAGCCTCGTCCTAAATGGCAATTTCCTATGAAAAATATGGAGCCGTTTTTGAGAAAATGATGTTTAAGCGCTACTGTTCATTCGAAATTTGAAGCTTTTTTCACAACAAAATTTGATTTTTCGAAAAAATTCATTAAAAGTTATTTGAAACACTCACAAATACAATAGTGTTTACAAATTGCTGGAAATGTGCGTAATAGCGGAATGCGATCTTAAAAAAGTAACATTTCTGTAATTTCCGAAAAAACAAAAAAGGACCCCAAAATTAATTTTATGCCATATTAAAGATAGCAATTAGTGCTATTTGCTCGAAAATACTGTCAAAAATGATCAGTAAACTGCTCTTAAATCAAAGAAAAATGACGTAAATTTTTTTATCAAAACCAGTTTGGATGAACAACTAAATCTGTTTGATTTGTTACTGAAGTTATCGAGGCTTTTTCTATTCACGTGCTTGGAAACTGAGCTAATAAATCAAATAAGCTGCTCGGGAATTCTTTGGAGAACATTTGTTGCACCTCTTAAATATTATTTGAAGCAAGTGCCATGAAAATAAGAAAATGATATTGAAATAAATGAAAAAAGCATGTAAAAATGACACATAGAAATAAGTAATTTCCTTTTGTCATAACATACAATTAATTTCTCTACTAAACGTCATTGTTTTAAAGAGAAAAAAAAAACATTTCATTAATATCCACACCCAAATAAAAATTATAATATTAAGTTAAATTTTAAAAAATGCAATAAAAAATTCTCGACAATTCTGAGATGTTTGTGGATCGAAATCTTCCTATTACTTGCCTTTTGAAAATTTCAATGTACAGAGTTCAATTTTGGAAATATATTACAAAATGAAAAGCAGTAAAAAGGCAAACTATTTTTATCATTTGTATGTCTTGTAGGTTTCAAAAATATATGCCTCCTCAGTTCGATATGACAAAAACTAGATGAAAATTAATTAACTTGAAGGCAAATACGTATTCAAGAATGTAATTTATTATTTTTTACAGCTTGAAATTGAATGCTAATCTTTATTACTTAAAACCATTGAATTACGAAAAAATGTTCCAGAAATAAAACGAAAGTGAAACCAAAGATCCACGGGTTTTTGATTAATATGATTTTCGTGGGAGCGAGAAGTAACACAAGAAACAAAATAATACTAAGTAAATTTAAATCAATACACTTGGTATTATTCTACATAATATTGTACAATTATTTCGTTTAAATAATGAAATATAATGGATTTGTAAAGGAAATACTGGACTTTCAAATACAATTTCTGCAAAATTTCTAGGTAATATGTGCACTTACACTTACGTTAGATAGAAATCCCAGAGTTGAACACACCCGCGACGACGTTTTCGTGAAACTGCTGTGAGCAGGAGGTAGTTCGCACAACGAGCCCCTAATACGTAAGGGCAGCCTTCTAAGTTGGAAGGTGACGAAGCCATGTAATGGCTTCACTGCCTTATTCGCATACGTTTTCATTCTATATTGATTATAGTGATAACTTCCGAAAGTTCAACGACACGTACTAAAACAGAGAAGATACAATTTTCTTAATCGTAATCTGAAATCATTGTAACATTAACGATTATGCTCTTATTTCTAAATAGCGTCTTTTATTCACGACCTCGCAGTACCTAGCCCCGATTAATGTGAAAGGACCAGAAAAACGGAAGCGTCGCTTAAGAACGAAGGGTGAATCACCCTGTAAAGGGAAGTCATAAGCTGATTGTTCGTGTTCAAAACACATAAAAATCAACATAAGTATGGTAATTTTTTCTAGGAAGATCATTCCCATAATTAGTTTCTAACAATCTGGCTGTTATTAATAGTAAATTTAAAATTACATGTTTCAACAACAGTCGTTTTATGGTGGAATTCGTCCGATGACTTCGCACGTCACAATATACCATGAATTATTAGCAATATCTGCGAGGTAAGGGTTACTGAACCATTCGGAGTTTCTTCTGTCACTATATCAAGTTGAATCTTGACCCATTCCTCGTTCGTCGCTTAATGTGGTATCTGGAATGGTTAAAAATGAACGAAAACGACTGCAGCTACCAGGAGAATTGTTTATTTGATTTTTGCAAATGACGAAATCAAAATGTGTGGTAAATTACTCACGGCGATAAAATTTATATTCTTGATGTACACTAAGAGCCAAAAAACTGAATATACCTGCCTAATATCGTGTAGAGACCCCGCGAACACGCAGAAGTGCTGCAACGTGACGTGACATGGACTCGACTAATGTCTGAAGCTGGAGGTAATTGACACCTGAATCCTGCAGGGCTCTCCATAAACTCGAAGAGTACGAGGGGGTGGAGATCTCTTCTGAACAGCCCGTTGCTTCGCATCCCAGATATACTCAATAATGTTCATGTCTGGGGATATTGGAAGCAAGTGAAAGTGTTAAATTCAGAAGAGTGTTCCTGGAACCACTCTGTAGCAATTATGGACGTTTGGGCTGTCCCATTCTCCCACTGGAATGATCAGACAGGATGCTTACGTACGTGTCACCTGACAGAGTCTAGATGTGTATCCCCATATCACTCCAACTTCAGAACCCCATACCATCACACAGTCTCCACTAGCTTGAACAGTCCGCAGTTGACATACAGGGTGCATGTATTTATGAGATTGGCGCCACACTGGTACATGACCATCCGCTCGAAACAATGTGAAATGAGACACGCCAGAAAAGACAACGTGTTTCCAGTCTTCAATAGTCGAAAGTCGGTATTGACGGGTCCACGCGAGGCGTAACGCTTTGTATCGTAAGGTCATCAAGCGTACACGAGAGGACCTTCGGCTCCGAAACCCCATATCGATAGTCTCGTTGAATGGTTCGCACGGTGACACTTTTTGATGGCCCAGCATTGAAATCTGCAGCAATTTGCGGAAGGATTGCACCTCTGTCATGTGACGCTGAATGTTATTCTGTAAAATACGCCTCTGTTCTCGTTTAATGTATTTTTATTGAACAAAGTTAAACGAAAATAACAAAAATAACTTGCAATGCATTCCAAGAGGTCAAAATTTAGCCATCTTTCCCATACCCTTGACTAGTGTCAAAATGTATTCTATATTTGAAGAAATGTACTAGCAAAGAAACAATTTTGAATTTCATGAGATCGACTAATCTGGTTTTTCGTTACCCCAATGCAGAAGTGAATATTGTGAAGTCGAAAATTTTATCTCTAAAAGACGTTGAAAAACATACAAGTCTAGGACGATTTTTAGGGCACATTAATAACCATTTTTTCATCCAAGGAATAACACCCAAGGAACAGAGGCGGACGTAGAAAGTCTTTCAAGAGGAGTACACTCCCCCTCTAACTTATTGTTGAAAATGATCTTTTTTATTTTCTCATAATTACTTCGTAGAAAGAGAAACACCTGTATTAATATGGGAAAATGTGTAGATTTTAAAAAAGAAAAACACGTTTTGTGGGTCCCTGATTAAACAATCCCAGCTTAATTATTCTCGCTCCTATACGTAGTAAAGTACGTTCTCGATATGTAGTGTTGTAAGAAACCACATTTTTTCAAACCTTGGTACTGAAAAAGTTTTTCTCCAGTGTTTGTCCTTCCGTTCGTCCGTCCGCTCCTCTGGCAGTGAATAATGCCAACGCATAAATCAAATATAGGGTTTTCATACAAATTGATATTCCCCGATCGTGACGTCACAGATCCTCGAAGTTTTTAATTTTTGGAGGTACCTAACATGAAACCCCTACGAGAGTCACGTGTAAAAACGTTTTAAAAAATAGCTCCAAATTTCACTTAACCTTATACATAATATAGAATACTCCACTAAGTTACACATTTTCGTATCATTTTAAATAGAAGCATAGTGTCAATGTCAAAAATATTGTTGTAATTTTAATAATTGTGAACCAGAACAAGATTTGATATACATATGTTATATTCGGAATTATTCTGGAAGATGAAAGTAATGTTGCATTGAGTCAACAATATAATTATTAATAACAGAAACACTAGAACGTAAACTCAAAAGTCCTACTATTTTAATGTCAACTGTCGTATTTTAATATACAGTGACATAATTCGTTGTTTAGCTAGCGTGTTTACATTGTTAAATAACAAAAAAAGGTTAAGTATTACCCCTTCGGTCGGTCCTGAACAAGTGCGCGCACTCAACCTTTAGCATTGCGTTGTAACATTTCTGTGAAAAGAAAACGCGACAGGCCTGTTTCGCGCGTACTTATTATTTCCTTAGTCCTTCTCTTGAGCCGGAAATGTCATTGCCCTACACAGCGTTTGGGAATGTTCAACGCCGGGCAGAGGGCGAATGCAATAAGTGACGTTTTTCTTTGCGGTTTCAGGGGAAGAAGAAGCAGAGGAAAGAGACGCTCTTCTCACACGCCACCAAATTAAAATTCACAAATGTAAAGCCTTGAAGCTTGCCATGAAAGTTCCCGCGGTCGCGGTAAGAAATCTAATCTACATTCTTGTTATACTCGTTTTTCCATAGACGAAGGTTTTTTCTTGACTGGAATCCGCGAGCGCTTGGGTGAGCGGGAGACTTCGCATTTTGAGCAAAGTTATAAACTTTTTGGTTAAAAGTTGCGACTTGTAGCTCTAAACTGGAAATCACTGGCTTCGCCTGTAACATACTAGGAAACGGCTGCATTTCGTTTGCGACTGAACAGTATCCAGAGCCATTTTAAGCATCACGCCTTAGATTGTTTAAAAAATGAAGCCATGGTGGTTACTGCAGATTTCATTTTTACTTTCTCGCGTATAAGAAGGAACTTCTTAAGACGAGAAATGTATGCAATAATGCGCCTGACAAGACAGCCTTCAGCTGCCCGGCTGTGCCTGCACCGCTCCTCCGTACCTCGCCGCCCACATGTCGCCGGATTTGTTGCTGAGGCCGCAATTTACGGGGTCATGCGAATTCGATCGCGAGACCGGACATCCGCGGAGCTACTCCGATCCTTGTCACCGTCTGCACCATTGTGAGGCTCTCCCCGATGTCAGTTCTCCGCACGCGCTGCTAATAGCCGTGAATGCTACTACGGAGGTAGCTACGTACGTTTAGAGATATACTGTGTTGTGGTTCATTGTTACCTTTCCAAGATTGTGAACTGATCGTAGTGTTCATTTTACTTTCCTGTATACGCATGTATTTACGGAGGAATATATGTAGTATAGGGAAAATTATGTACTGCTGCGGAAAATCGATTTCGTCCGTGAACACTACTAGCGCCTAAACCATGCGAAGGATTTTTCCAAATTGTAGAAACTTGTGTCCATCTTGCTCGCGTCGAAGCTTTGAGATTTTGAAAAACATCTTTAAAATTTGGAGCCACTTAACATGAAGCCCTCCAGGCATTTTCAAAATTTTCTCAAAAAACGGCTCCAAATATCTTGTAAGAATAGAGTAAAATACACTTATAAAGGTGGCATAAGTTCGATTTTCAGGTTTAACTCTGAATTTTTGAAAAATTCAAATTTTTTGGGGCCTCTTTCTACAACTACGAAATTTAAGATAGATATTTCCCCTTCAAATACAATTTGTTCTTTGTAGTGAGTTCTTATTTAATGTCATGTACATTTTTTTGAAAATTTTAGTATTTTTCGCACAATATTGCGAATAATATGTACAATTTTAAAAAATTACAAAAACAAGATTTTCTCAAAAACTGCTCCAATTGTTTCTGGAAACTTTTGATAGAGATAGTTCTAAATGTACTCCATAAGCTGGCATAAACGCCATATTGCTCTATTCTTTTCTTTTTCAAAATTTACAAAAATGTAATGTTTTGACTTGTCTCTCACGTCGTTAATATTTTTACTGGCGGTAATTTGTTCACATTATTATATTAATGAGTATGTGATTTAAATAATGTCATAAAATTTTTCATATTCAGGAATTTCGGCACTAGCTTGTCAGCTAGGTCGAATTCAGTCGCTGTCTGGAGTAGAATTCTAGTGGCCAGCTGCTCTGATCGGTAGTTTTCCGTGGTTTCTCCGATCGATACCAGGCGAATGCCAGAGTAGTACTCTAACAAACTAACCACTGACCACACGCGATCTTTCCTATCTCTTCCTTGTTTGTTCGTCGCTGCTTATGTACACTTATACTCACATGCAGTACACAGTCACACTTGTTGGGAGCTTTGTCGAAGGCTTAGAGCTTGTCCCTGTTGGGGCGGTGCCCCGCTTGTGGGAGATACCTGGTTGGGGAAAACCCCGCTAGGTAATGGTAGGTCGGCGCCGGATCGCGCCATACAGCAGGGGAGGACCATCGCCATCTCCAGAGCAAAATTATGCACTACACTTTCGTAACTATTGCGCTAGTAGTTGAATTTAATAACAACCAATCAATCGAACGGTCAACTGACTTGTAAAATTTGAATTCAAGACTGCAATGCAGCAGCAAATGTGACTCTGATACCACTGCTAACTTATAACTTTATCAAGTACGGCGCTTCATCAATTACGTGGGCGGGTGGCCGACGATTTACAATTTTCTTAGGGGAGCGACTCGAGGCGAAAAATACCATAAAATATTTTTTAACAAAGGCTTCTCTCTCAAAGATGGGCCTCGGAGTCGGAATGTATGTATATATTGAGGCGCACCGTGTCTCCACGCCACGTGTGTACACATAAAGCGAGTACGTTTTCCCCATTTACACCGGAGCTCAAAGTAACACGTTCTGCAAAAATGTCAAAGTTGGAAAGTCAATTCACAATAACAGTCTGCTGGAAAGTAAATTCACCCATAATTCACAATATATACAATTGTAAAGTAATTCAAATTGCATTCAGATGCGTCAAATTGGAGCCGATTTGGATGGCCCAGGTGACTAGTATGTGTCGACTCACCGCTTCGAGTCGCGCCGTGGGAATGGTTGTTTGTCCCTTTTCATCCATGTAGTATGTGTGTTGTCGCGGAAGACCTTGTGAGCCGGCTGGCCACAGACCGAGGAGACCGTAAGTGTGTCAGTGTCTAATGTAAAAGTCAATGTGTCCCCATGAGAACACCAACTGATGGTTTGCCTCGATCGCAGGAGCAATCTTACCCGATTGAGAATCGGCCGCGAATCGTAGCACTCAACCACTCCTCACCTCGGAGCACGCACACAGCATCGCTCCCTCGTGACCGCAGTCACGCAAGGTCACAAAGTCCTCCACTGGCTCGTCAACAAGTGACTTACCTCGCGAGCCCTGCTCGTCGCTGCACCGTCGTGGCGCCAAATTTTTGTGCAACTGCACGAGGTTCCCCCACTGTCTCCAGAACCAACCCACAGGCTCTGTGCACTCCCATATACTTGGGGTTCACGTGACCTACTACATCACGCCACTCCCGCAGTGCCCTTTGGTTGCATGAGGTTTGGGTCTCGGTTCCTTAAGACCGGAGGACCCCAAATCCTCGTGTCTGCCTTTGCCGCGTGCTGGCTTTTAGGAAAAACCCTTCTCTCCCTCCTGCAGCGAGGCGGTTTCCTGTTACTAATCCCTTACCACGTGTCCCCAAATAGCTGTCACGAGGCTCGCTGGCTAGTATGTTACATACTTCTCCATATCCCATTTAGAATTTTTTGTGCAGGAGACATCCACAATAAGAAATTCGTAACGCCATTAAACTCGTGAACTTGGCAGAAGTATGAACTTAACCTGCCCTATGTTTTACATTCTAGCGAACCTCCCTAGCGTACATAATGTTACACACACACACGCGCACACGCACACGCACACACACACACACACACACACACACACACACACACACACACACACACACATCATATATATATATATATATATATATATATATACACAAAAACTAAATTACCAAAAGCCCTAAGTGTATCTAAATTACATTATGTTCAACATTTTAAAATCTACCTTAGAATTATAACTATATACAACTTTTATCTACACAATTAATTAATTAATTATTGCACTCTATCAATGCATCCACAACAATTTTACCCACACCAACTTTCTATGCCATCAAAGCTGCACTAGACCCCCAAAATTGCACATAACACAAAAAGCACACAATTCACAAACAATACACTTTTCAAAAAATTGTTACATATATTCAATAATTTTCGTGTAGATTTGATACAATACAGTGAAGTGATCCGACTCAAGTGTAGTCCTCCGCATTCTCAGTTCAGTTCAGGTTCCATATATCAATAAAACATCCTGCTTCAGGTAGCTGCATTAACATGATCTTTCCCTTTCTTGAGAATGTGATTGTAAGCCTGAATTAAAAGTGACCAACGCATTAATCTAGGATTGTTACTTGAGCAATTGTTCAACCATACCAACGGATTGTGGTCAGTTTATTTTTTTAAATTTATTTATTTACGTGAAAAACAGTTGAAAAATGTGTATGACATGCTACGGGGAGAAGTTAATTTTAAGTTATATTTCCCTCCAGAAGCAAAACAAGGAGCCATCTCAGCATTTGCACGACGATCCTGATCGAGATGGGGGTCATTGACCCAGAAACTGAAGTACAATACTTGTTACAGGTTCTTTACAATTATACAATCCAAATGATATATAATACATTAAATGTCATTTTAAAAATTAATATTTCTTTCCTTTTGGATGCTCAGTATAGTCTCTAATTGTATAGAAACCGTTCTGCAGCAGAAACTATTTTACTTGGAACTTAAATTTTTGTATTGAATTTAATCGTTTAATGTCACCTGGCAAAGTGTTGTAAAATAATGTACATGTATTATATGTTAATTTTTTGTAGTGAGCTTTTGTTACTGTTACCTGATGAATGTGATTTTTTCGTCGAGCGATGTAGTTATAGACAACGGCGTTTGCTGAAAATATATTCCCGCCGTTACGTAAATCATTTTTAACAAAAATCACTGATTCATATATTAAGAGACACGGTAATGGTAAAATACCTAGATTAATAAAGAGATGCTTACAAGAATCACGTGGGTGGGATTTGCTTATTATTCGTACAATTCGTTTATGGAATCTAAAAGTCTGGGAGCAATAAGATGTATTTCCTCAGAATATTATGTCATATCTCAGGGGGGAATGAACATTCCCGAAATATACACAACGATCAGTGTGGAGGCTGACTGAATTTGAAAGAATTCCACCTTGATTTTGACGTTTCCGTCTAAATAATTCTTTAACTTCTGCAATGCCCTGATAATTGCAGTACACTCTAACTCGATCGTACATCACAAAAACTCAGTATCCGTGAATTTTCGGCTTAAGTATAAAACCGGTTTTTCTTTTCCCGTATCGTTATACTGTTCCAAAATGTCAGTACCTCTATTGACGCATCACACTGCACGATAAAGTCGTTATCAAAATTGGGCGCGTGAAGGACGGGTTCGTGACATAGAACGTTTCTCGTGGCCCACGATAAATATCGTGGTGTCTTTATCGTGGGCCACGAGCGTTTCTCAACTTTTGAAATGCCACCTCGCATTCCGGCGTCCACTTCACCTTGTCCTGCAGTTCGCGACCTCGCAATAAGTCCGCAATAAGCCACGAGGCACGCTGGCTACTACGATACAATAGGGTACTCGGCGCGGATAGTCAAAATCTTCTGAAGAAGAAGAAGAAGAAGAAGAAGAAGAAGAAGAAGAAGAAGAAGAAGAAGAAGAAGAAGAAAGGAAAGAAAAAAAAAACAGTGGCGTCAAATTGGAGGTAAAAGTTATACCCACATGAACAGAAAATAGAACAGGATCTATGCAACTCTCATTATAATGACCACTATAGAGGAGCTTGGGGGAAATTATCAGTGAAGAAAACCTGGAGCGACTTCAATGTCAAAACTGTTAATTGTGTTGTACAACTTCAACAAGCTCTGGTGGAAAGAACATTCGAATGTGATCCGAGCATGGAAATAACTTCGAAATTTAAGAGAGAAACAGAAGCAGCAACGCAACTCTTCCATATTTAGATATTAGAACAACAAAGAGGGTAATGAAGCCCATAAATATCCTATTTCTAATCACTTTCAACTTTGAAATAAGTTTCTAATATTGTTTTATTTCTCCTCTTTGGGGTGTTCATTGTGAATTGTTTGAAGTAGCGCTCACTCAGTTCTACTGCAATTGTTTGTCAGATATTTTTTCTTTCTTTTTTAAAGAGATTTTCGATAACCATGAACCTAACCAATATTTTTTTCATTAAAAAATATACTCAACATTTGCGGATTTGACATTCGCAATGAGTTTTCGGAAGCTAATTCTCGCGAATGTTGAGGGATACATCTTAGTTTGTTACAAAACTCCCGTTCGAATAGCGGCGACACAGCTGATCAAACGTAATTTCGCAGTTTTAATCTGAGCTACACAGCTATAGCTATATAGTGTCGAAAATCCGTCATCGTCGAGAGTCGAGAAATAGTTCCTACGGGACAGTGACGCTCCGGCAAACAACCGGTTCGAATTTCGCGTCCAGAAGTGAATACTTGAAAGACAATTTTTTACGGAAAAACTATACCTGCAATTCTCACGAAATTCATCATTGAAGCTACTGAATTTTTGTCATAGTAACACCCGATCTGTACAGTGAATAAACAGTAAGACAATGAAAAATCGCTCAAATTTCTCATTTCTCTATGTGAACGAGACAGGAACATGATGTAAGCAAACTGCGGAGAGTAGAGCGTACTAAGTATTTCGTTTGTTTACGAAGTTCATTTGTTACTATCATACTACCAGCCTCAAAAATAAATCGTCGTCAGAATGTTTCTCTCAAAGTTCAAATGAGAGTTTTCAAGGTACTAATTACTAAACATTACGATTATGTTTCCACCGTATTCTTACATGTTTCTTATCAATTTGTAATGATTTTCTCAGACCATCAAGAGAGAAAGTTCTGACAGCTCTTTTATGGTCCGTCATGTTGGTGTTGCCCAGTGCCGCTGTACCCATCTCAACTGAACGTGGAACGCGACACTCAGCGACACTCAGTGAACGAGTTTTGTGAGGTATTGTGGAGGCTTGAGTAATAAGCATGCGTTTGCATGTTTTTCGTTTATATGTTGTATAAAATGTGAAAGTCAGAAATGTATCTTACGCTTTTGTTTTCCCTAGGGATCGAGGCTTGTGTATAGTAACTTTTGTTACTCGCCATCTAGTTTACTTCAAAGACACATTCAAAACATTATGACGTTGCATGAAGTGAAAATTGTGGAAGAGTGAAAACCTAGTATCTGCGCCAATTCCATTCCCCTTATTATTATCATGAATCTTGCGGAATTTTTACGCTACCGCGGCCTGTTAACGGCAGCGGTAGGTGCGGGTGTAATGTTAGGGGCTGCTGGAATTTTTCTTTATCATCAGCTGTACGCAGAAAGAAGAAGAATGATGTTGCAGAGAGAGCTTGCAAGATTGGACATAACAGTAACAGAAATGAGAAGTGAATTGGATTCATTACGAAAAATGAATTGCTGCAAGCATAACAGTTCATGGAAAAAGAAAGCATCATCCACCTTGAGTGATGGTGATACTGATCTTGATATGCATTCTGCTCTGGATGTACACTCTACTGTTGATGATTTAGAAGAGTTTTTTGATTTTTCTGATGATGAAGACTTGTAAGTATGCTAATAAACTAACGCTAGCCAAATCTACGTATTTGTTACGCCTGTTGTGTAAGCATTTGAATGTGGTATTAATTAAAAGCAATTAATTTGTACATTTCCTTATTTTTTAATATGAAAATGCTCAAACGTTTTTGAAGCTACTTGTGTTTTCATAAATGGCCTCTACTTCAAGCTTGTTTGCATTATGGGACAAAGTTCACCATCATGTTAACATGAATTTATCCAAGTCAGGGTGATTAGTTGCTTCTTATCCTTATGAGAGAAGCTTTGGAAGAAGTAATATTACCTGTATACCAATTAGTATACAACTTTGAAGCATTTTTGTCATTGATTCACAAATTATTGCTTTTTAAAACTACTTAATTATCTTGATTAACATGGGCATTGACATTCCTTATCAAATAAATTTAAAAACATTGCATAAATACATTCTGTTAGGGAGACATTGATAACGATTTACATTTATGTTGTCTTATACTTGGATAACTGCCCCTAACGTAAATCAGCTGTTGCGATGTCATCCAATCAGGAGGTTGAATGTCACTGTAGAGATCACTGTACTGATATGTAAGCTGCTGATGGGATGACATAACAGCTGACAACCTGCCAAGTGCACCTCTAAATAAATCATAGTGTATATCTCTGTTAACTGTTTTGCTCATTACTTTTACATAGATTCCATATTTTCCTGCTTACTACTTACTGTGCTTTTCTTTCATACTTATATTTAACAAATAAAATTTATTTCTATCTTGTCAGTTCATCCACTTGCACTCGATCTTTTTTGAGCTCCTTGTCTGTTCTCTCCTCATCTATATTTAAAACATGTTAAATTCATTCTAATGTGGTAACATTTCTAACTGTCTTCAATTATTCTGGTATTTGAAACAACTTTTGCAGTTTGTGTTTTGTTCATCATTGATTATAATGCGAGCATAATTTATCACTTTTCTTTCAAGCATTTTCAATGTTCTTTTCATTTTTCTTGAGGAAAGACCTCATTTCTTAACCCTTTGTCATTACATTACTTACACTTCATTTTCATTTTAGATTTTATTTTAATTTGAGACCTATTGTTCCTTTTTTTATAAATATGGCAACAGTCCCTGCATCATATTTCCTGTTGGTTATCTGGTTAATTATTAGTTCTACAGTTTAGTGCTGCTGCAATTTAGAACAATGTGTTTTTTGTACTGTAAGAGTTTTTCCTGGAAACAATGTATGTAAAACTTAAAAATGTGTTGGTAATTTTGTATTGACTAGACTCAGTTTTATGTGGAGACAAAATGCCAGAATCTTGTCAGACACTTTAAAATATTTAGCGAACCATCAAAGAGTATTTTGGCAGAAATATGTAGAATTTTGGAAGTTCCAGTATCACGGTTGTTTAGGATTGTGTTTACATACTTTAATGTCAAAAAAACATTTGCAGAACTAAACACATTGTTCTTCAACTTGGTGCTAACTCAGAGACGAGACGTAATTTGAGTTTTTCAGGTTGACCATTGCATTTTTCTTTCTGAACAGCCCTATTACCATTCAGTAATGTAGGTTTCAATTTTCTTGCCTTATGATCCTGACTGTCTTAACTGTCACCCTTGATTTGCATGCGTTTCATTAAACAAGCTGTTATCTCAAAACTTAAGAGTGTGGCATGTGATTGTTTTTCACTGAGCTCTTCACTTGATAATGAGCTTACATTCAATTTTATTGGCGAACATGGGATTCAGAGATATAGAGATTTGTGTGATACATTCAGATTATTGCGTTTCATAATAAATTATTATTGAAGACAATATCAGATGTCATGGAAGTATCCCAACATCCCATGCAACTCTTTATTTGCTGTCTTTGGGGCAAAGTATTTTCATTTATAATTTGCTAGGCATGTACTGTGACTAATTTACTATCGTTTCTTTTGTTGAAAAAAACAGTTTCTTTAAACATTACAATTCCCATTCAAAACTCAAAAATTAATTAAAATATATTTGGTATTTAAATTGGGTAAGTTACTTGAAAACTAGACAGAGTTTTTCATACTTATCCTTCTGTTTTGCTGAATTCAAAGTTTGGCTCAAATTTGGCATGGGTAGTATTTAAATTTTGCATGGAGTGTTGCTGGTACCCCACATGGCTATTCATATTAGTATTGCATACATGACTACTGAAGGGTAAAAAATTCTTTTTACTTTAAGGTGATTACATCTAAGTATAGAATGACAGAAGAATAACAGAATGGAACCCAAGCTCAAGGGATGTGTTGGACCAGGTCACTTTAAGGAATGCTTGTGTAGATGAATCATTAAATGTATCGCATGTAGTTTTACTGATAGAAACCCATGTAAAACCCTAACAATGCGTTCGTGGACCCATTATCTTATGAATGTTTTCGTATATTTCATCATCAGGAACCTGCCTGCACGTTTATGGACACTTTAGTTATAACCAATATATTTTCTTATGATAGTAAAACTATTAGTTTGGATCCTTACTGGTTTTGAACTGTTCCTTCTCAATTATGCTTATTTTTATCTAGTCTTAATTCTAATTCAAGTTAATTCTGTTGTTAAATACTGAATTTTAATTTCAGATTATTAAAATTTGACCAAGAAAAAGAAGACACAAGTCCAGAGTTACTGGAGGTGTATGAGAAAGTAGATAGTTTGCTCAAAGGAGATTCTGAAGAAAGAAAGTCTGCTCTTGAACTTTTACAAGAGCATTATGAACAAGTATGATTTCAGAGGATTAAATCCTCTTTGTAAATTAAGAAATTTATACTGATCATAAGAGTGCAGTATTATTAGACCATTGTAATTTACAAAGTCAAAAAATCTCTTATCTTTAATGAGTCATTTTTTAATTTTAATCTCTATATCTACATAAATTATATAAACAAATTACTAATAAATGGCTATTTGTCATATCTTTTATGGAATACATAATAACTTAATTCTAGGGCTATAGAAGCAAATATGACTTTTTTCTGGGGATTTGTTCTGTAAGGTCTTGTAATAATAGAGTACATCAGTAATTTTGCATCTGCATTTAGTAGAAAGAAAATGTTAATAAACATTTCTTTGTACTGTGAAGATGTATTTATATTCTTTCTGCTAAAAACAATTTATTTTATTCTCCATTGGTCAGGATATTAAAAGCGTTACAGAGTTGAAACGACTTGCAGGGGAATACATAAATGTACTGAATTAAGGAAACTTTACGTTGTTCATTTTGACATTATGTAAGCTTATGAAGACATTTTCAGTACTACAAATACCTGGAAGGACACTAGTTACAAGTTTTGCAAAATGAACTACTGATTAGGTCTCTTACATTACCTAAGTAAATAAAGACAATGTGTAATTTTTAGAGTAAATCACTTGAAAAAAGGGGGGTGTGGAGCGCTTTTGCACTTAGAGTAATCCTCTATTAACACGAGCATGGGAGTAATGCTCCATTAATTATTTTTACATTGTCATATTTGTCACATCAGGGTCAGTTGCCATGAGGACCGCCGCGTAGCATCTTTATGTATGCGCCCCTGAGTCACTACCCAGTGGTGAGAATTGGGAAGGAATTGGGATTGGGGTAAGGTTTATGACTCTTCACAGGGGTTGGGTAGCCCTTGTGGAGCAGCCAATCTGGTTTTGTTGGGAAAAATTTCTCATGAGATTGTCCGAGATTTGATGGGAATCGAACCTGGACCTCCTTGGTGAAAGGCAAGCTACTTCACTCTGAAGCCACCAGATGACTTCCTTCCTGTTTAGAATCCTGCTCAAAATACAATATTTATCCTTTTGAAATGTGTGTAGTTTGAAAGTGAAATAGAATGAACACATTGAACAAATAAATGTTATGTTCAATAGGTTTATTTGGCCCCATCCCCAAGCAAAAGCAGGTTTATTTTCCATTATGTTTAAAAATTCAAATTTTTAACTTCACTATATGAAAGTTTGGATTTAGTTTTTAGAAGTGGGGAGGGATGATTGGGGGAGGGGGGTCTTGGTTTAATTATTTTTGGTGAGCGGAAGAGATCTTTGAGGAAACTAATGCACGAAGGATCATGATTGAATACTGAAGAGCCAGGACATGGTGGTAGGAAGAATTTTTAAGAGATTTGCGAGTTAATTCAGATAGAATAAGCCCTTGTAGTTCTCAATGCATTGCGAGTTGAAAATAAACCTGGGAGGCTTTCCTTAAATATTTGTTTTAGATAGTCTGTAATATGTATATGTTGGTTGCTGCTATGTTACACCATGTTCAAGAATGGTAAAATCAAAAATTATTTTTTATTAACAAAACAATACTTTCTGGTTTTGTCATTCTGGAACATATTTCCGGTTTGATCTGGATTATATATTGAAATGATTGTGCTTGTAGTTAAGTGAACAATGTGGAAAGTGAATTAGTGGAGTTACAGATGTGAAAAATAAAGCATCAAAATAAATTCTGTAGAGTTAATAAATAAAAGTTAAAATTTAATAAATGATGTCATCTAAATTCAAAAGAAGTATTATAAATTTTATTTATTCCATTAATTCAACTAAGAGTGTTTTATCAGATTGATGATGTTTTTCTTCTTCTTTATTTAAATATTAAAGTTTGTAAAAGTGGCATATTTAGAAAAAAGTTAAAAATAATATATTGATAGAATTAGTTGAAAAAATGTGGTGTAAAGTGTAATGGAAGGTCAAAATATCAATCTTGATTATTAACAGTTAATTTCAAAGGAAAGAAAAGACTCGTCAGAGTGAGAAGTAAATTAACCTCTCAAAATCTGAAGAGTAAAGTATGCAACAAAGAGGTGCAAACTCATAAAAAATGTTTAAACTTATTGCGGTCTGTGAGATTTTTTTAACCTGAAGACTATAATATCTAGTTTGAGAACTTTGCAGTAGCTAATAACATTCCTATTCCAAAGTGGGATAAATTTTGTTTAGCTTAATGCCATATGTAGAGGTAGAAATGTACATCACAAGACAACAAAAAGAAGA